TCGGACCTCCCCGTCAAATACTTATTCGAGTTCCCCGTCAAATGATTTAGCAGAGCGGACGGTGTCTTTATTACTTTACACGGGCGTGAATATTTGCGTCGAAGAGTTCGATGTCTTTTTTTTTGCCGTTTTTTTCAAAAATTCGAGTTTTAGCCCCTCTCGGTCGTATTACCCTCCCCGTTTGAATCTTATTCCCGCTGTATGTATTGCCGGCGCGAGGTTTTACTTTTTTACAGACGAGTCCCGGTGGGGTACGGCGTCGCGGAAACGAGAGTAGGTACCGTGTAGGTATCGCTATATATAGGCTGTATAAATACATGCGTCGAGTCGTTTTTTTCTAAAGTCCGAGTCTTGGCCCGTTTTAGTGGTATTACTCTCCCCGTTCGGACCTTATTCGCGTTCCCCGCCAATTTTACAGGCCGTATTCCGTTCCCGGCGTGCAAACCGAGCCAGTTTTAGCCATTTTCGACACGTCTGCCCTCCCCGTTGACGACTTATTCGCCTCCCCCGCTACACATCGAGTCCCGGGGCGGAGCGGGTTCTCTGAAACGAGACTGCCAAAATTGCCGCCATCGAGTAGGCATTACTATAATGTACAGGCATGAATTCATGCGTCGGAAGGTGCGATTATTTTTCGTGAAGATCGCGTTTTTGCTGTCCGACGCGGTAGGATCGCCGGCTACGAGGCCCTTTGATGGACGTCAAAACATGAAATATATAATATATACCTACTATGTAGTAGGTACTGCTGCAAATTCTATACAATAATTAAATTGCATAATGATAGGACTATATATATATATGAGTATTTGATATTATTTTAACATGGCCTGGATTATATTGGAATACATACGATTATATTTTATGCGTGTCGGACGGTCAATAACACGATTAAAGATAGTATGGTTGCCCACCGACCCGTGATTCACATACTAGAAAAGTGTCTACCGAAATGAATCTACTTATCAGTATTAATGGTATTAAACAGCTGGAGACTTAAACACTAGCGCCTGCATGGTGTAGTGACCATAAACTCAACTACTATTAACCATACAGAACAATATTCTTATATTCCCGCGCTCATTATTTTTTTTTTAAATACTGCTGAATAATAATAATCATTAATCAGTAATCACTCATATTATGTAAAGTACTATATACATAATATTATGTATTCTAATTCTATAATAACTGTTTCAATCTTTCTGAAGCATAAAAACTAAATAACGTATACTCTATGCTACTAAATCGTAGCCCATTGTACATTTAACTGCGACCAATGTATTTTTTTCTATAGTATCGAATAAAATGACACAAATCAATGGAAGTTATTAATTTTATATTTTTTATTAGGGCTTAGGCACCTAATAATTCATTTAAATAAATCATTATAATGATTAAGTAAGTATGTACATAAATATAACATACAGGTAAATATATAAAAAATATATAATACTATTTTTGTTAACTTTTAACCAATTTTGAAAGTTTTTTTTTTGTTTTATTAATCTTTTTGTTATTTTGATTCTGTTGATAGCTGTATTGACGCATTCTCATAATCAGATAATATGAACAAATATCCATTAGTACATCTGTTCGATGTTCAGTGCATGGAAAATCAAAAGTTATATTTTGGCTTAAAAAATATTCAGGAGCATCTTCAAAAACATTAGGTGCATCAGAAAATTTAGTAAATGATAACTCTAATGACTTAAATATTTTAAAAATGTTATTATTTGGATGGGTCAGGTAGCCTCTACTTTTTATATTCACCAGATCGGCTTCAGGCCCAGTTTTAGAGGTATTTAAGTTCTTTAAATGTAACTTACATAATTCACATTTAGTTTTGGCTACTAAACGTTTTGATATATACCTATAAAATATAATATATTAATTATAAAATTAATTGATAGAAGTTTTGATTTGTAAAAAACTATCTAAGTAAATCAGTTAACTAAGATTAATACCCAGCCAGATAATACACTAGACAATCAAAAACAGTTGAGTCTGAATAATTGTGTTCTAAAAAAATGTCATCAGCTTCCCAACATCCGTTATCCACAATGTCATTTATTTTTTGTTTCAATTTTTCAATCTTATTTATTCTAACTGGTGTATTTGTTGGATCACTAATTATCTCTTTTAGGTCTGCAATTGTTATTATTGGAATATTGTCTAAAGAAAATTAGTAAAATTAAGTGTTTCTGTAGGTATCTAAGTTTATATATATAAATACAGTATATTATTTTTATTTACAAAATATTTACCTTCAAAAATTGTACAATTACCACTTTTAGGAGGTTTTATCAGTGAGTAAACTGACAACATCCTATAAAGCTGGAGGAAAGTTGGGGTTGATGGGTGGTCGTTTGGTCCAGCAACCTGGCGTATGATGCCAAAAAATTTCTGAAAAATTATAATGGTTAAGATTTCATTGTTTAATATAACAGTAAACAAAAAATGTCATCTTAAAATATACTTCTAAACAATCCTGGTTTAATTTGGCCGTCAAAACATATTTATAATTACAATCATTTAACAAATAGTCAATAAGGTCTATTGTTGACTTCAATGTTATTTTGAGGCCATCAGCTGTCGTTGTTGTTAAAAAATCATCCTTATTGATTAATTGGTCTTTTAAATTTGATTCCCATTCATTAATAAATTTAAATGCTTCTTTTAACACCTATTTAAAATACAATTTTTAAAAACTGCTGTGTATTATATATAGGTACTTACCTATTTTAACATTCAATATCTACAAAGCCTAGATAGTACAACTAGTTAAACAATAGTTAGTTAAATTAATTATAAACATTTAACACATACACAATACAATTACTATAGGATAGAGATTTTTCTTAATAAGTTTTGCAATAGGCATATTTCCTTTTCAGTTGCCTTATTAAATTTATAATATTTAAAAACATACACAATTTACATACCATGCATCACATGTAAGATAAATTACAAACACTTATAAGTTATAACATGTAAAAGCAAAATTAGAAACATATTTTAGCAAAGGCCACAAATCACAAACATTCAATATAAAAAACCTCTATATCATTGCTATTTTTCTTGATTCCTTCTGCTGGATATTTCCTGTTTAGGGAATCAAACATATTGTTCATGAAAACAGTAAATTTGACTGTTTCATCAGCATCAATGAAATTACCAATATTCTTTTTTTTATAAAATTCAATAGCAGAGGCCATTGACATACTAAACAACTAAAACAATTTATTTTTATTGTAAATAACACATTTTATAGATTTCTAACTCAAAAAATTTTAAATATTGTTTTACTAAAAAAAAATTTAATTCACCTGTGCTGCATACTTGACCTTCATCTTTGATAGGTTATTTAGCTCAAAGTGATTTTTATTGATTTTTGGGCATGCTTTAGTCAGGGAATTAGCTTCTATTTTAAAAATGTTCTGGTAGTGTTCCCATTGTATTGGACTTTTTGAGGGATGCACCTATAGTATTAAAGTAGAACAAAAATCAAAAGTTGTACTGAATTCAATTTACTACTTAGGAAGTTAAGACTTACTAATAATTGTTTCTTTTCATACAAACGGTTTCGTACTGTCTTTAAAAGGTGAGGTGCATCTGAAAATACAAACACCTTTCTACTGCTGTCGTAAGGATTTACAAAGTGGTTTTTAAAATTTTCTGATTTTGCACTTATCTAATTTAATAAATTAAAATTATAAAAATATTAAAAATACATATTATGTAATTTTGGTAAATAGTCATTAAATCATTCATAGAATATGTATTATTTACCCCAAGTAGATTCCACATTGTCCTGTTAGTTGTCGCACCGTCTGACGTCAGACCAACTACTTGATCACCAGCATTTTCCATAAGCAAAATAGCTCTTATTACGAGTTTTGCTAAATCAACTCCTAAAAGTATATATTGTTTTTTGAAAAGTTATTAATTTTAATTAGGTCAAATTAAAATATTATATTTTCTATTTTTTTTTATTTATATAATTTTTTTTTTAATTTTGGATATTTTATAGTATTGACCTTTAACAGTTCCATGCGATGCAAAAACAGCAATTGGCTGAACGAAATTATCAGCTAAGCTTTGCCACATGAAAACTAAAGCATGATTAGCCTTTTGGGAACTATCAGTTTTAGTGTTCAATTCTTCTCCAAAATCTTCCAGTCCCATGTAAGTTAAAGTACGACTATTCACACATATGTTTTCTCTTAAAAAAATCTCATCTAATACTAAAACTCCTTGTTTTTGTTGTTCTGATTTTAAATTAAATTTCTTTTTCAGAAGTTTAAAAAAATTATTGTCAAACCCACACCCAATTTCTACGGCAAGTAAATGTTTCCTGATTGTATTTACACAGGGTAGTGGTAGTATATTCTGGTCTCTTAAAAATTTATAACCACTTGGGGATCTGAAATTAAAAATTGTAATTCTTTAAGCATTATTATATAAATTGAATTTGTTAAATTATACCTTATTTGGAATAGCATACAAAGTAATAGCCAATTTTCACTATATTTTCTATTTTTAGGGTTTTTCAGTTTAGCAGCTTTAAATATTTCATGTATTAACTCAGATTGACTGTTGGGAATGTTAGAACTTTGTAATACTTTCTCAAGTTTATGGTGAGTTATATTCTTCATTTTATCTTTTATATCGTTTAAATGATTTTGTAAACGGGCAATTTTCAAACTAGCTCTGGATAATTTTTTTGTTATTGTATTTTTTACCTTCCTTATTCTACTCATGGCTTTTTTTTTAGTTGGAGAAAAAAATGTCCTGGTAGATTGGTTATTCTTTTGACGTAACTTTTTGTTCTTTATAATATACCATAGGCGTTTACACCATATGCAAGTATCACTGAAAATAATTTAATGTTGAGATATACAATACATAAATTGTGATGCATATTGTATATATTTTAATTTTTTACTCAAGTTGAATGACTGACTACAAATATATTTCATACTTAATACAATATAATTTTATATTAACCTATTACTGCTGTTGTCTTTAGGAAGTATTGTGGTACATTTTGGATGCCACAACATACCACATTTTTCAACTGGACTTATGGATAATTTTACGTATCCATATTCATTTGATGGTACTGCACCCTTACACAACCTAATATTGTCAAATATTTTAATTATCTTCTCTACTTCAGTGTGATTGTCTATATTAATATTTGAATTAACCCCAATATCTGATAATTCTATTTTTTTGTCAAAAGCATATAGAAATAACTCGGACTCTGTAAATAGAAAATAATATAGATTTTTATTTCTATAGGTTTATAATATTAATAATTTATATTATATTTTGTATACAAATTACCTTCATTTAAAACTAGTTGTTTTTCAATGCATCGCATTCGCATAACATTTTTTGTATAAGATCCCAACTTATGAAATTAAATTATAGTCTGCTTATAATTGTTTTTTAGTAGAGTATCATCGATATCACAAAACCATTTTGTTGGTATATTTAATTTTAATATATTTATATCATTTAAAACTGATTTAAATAATGTCATTTTTTGTTCTACCTTTTAATCAGAAATAAAAACACAATAATGATATTAATAATACAAATTAAAACATTGTTTAATTTTATAATAGGTACAGTACCTTTAATCTTTTAGGTATTGGGGACTTTAATTCTGTATTACATAAAGGTGTGTCTTTTTTTAGGTAGTTTGTTGTACCAGTATCATGAACTATTTTATTTTCCTGTGGTTTTATTGCTGTATAACAGTGATCATTGTTTATCGAAGATAGTAAATCATTATGTACATTTCCACAGCTAGTACCACAATCGTTATTAGTCTTGTCATTCTTAAAAAAATATATAAATATTAAGTCAATGACTAACAGGTATTATTTAAATTACAGTGTATTCATATGGTATTGGCTATATTTACTACACTTATTGATCCATTTTTAACTGGTATAGGAATGGCACCATTACACAGCTTAGCTCTTTTTAAACATACCTAGACATATAGGTACTTTTTTGACTATAACTACAATAATGATTTTAAAAGAAATAATTAAATACATACAGAATATTTGTTATTCCCATTTCCAGTAACCCATGAATCATTTATATCACTGTCTCTAAAGTGTTGGCGACAAACTCTAGAATTAGGGTGGAAATTAAGTCCTAAAGCTTTCTCCCATTCAGATCGTAACGCAAGGTCTTTTGGAAAGTGAAAACGACTTTGTTTTAAACATTTGTCTCGAAAAATACAATTTGGTACACAACAGGACATTTTTAATTTAACTTCTCAGTACGTACAAATTAATATATTTATTATTAGTTATTACGTATTAATAATAATTACTATTACAGTATTACTTAAGACGAGATTATTAATTGTTTATAATTAACTATTATCTATGGCTGTCAATAATATATCTGATAGACGATAGTTGTTACAAAGTCAATCATAGTATTTTGAATACCATGCTTTCTGTATTCATAGGTATTAAATAATAATAATTATTATTATGTCTTAATATGAGTTAAATAATGAAAGCGCGGGAAAAATTAATTATCTATCTAATTATCTTTGAGTGGTAACTGCATTTATTGTCGCTATAACACACAAGCGCTAATGTTTAAGTTTCCAGCTGTTTAATACTGATAAGTAGAGATTTATATCGGTCGACACTTTTCTAGATTCGTTGGGCAACCATACTATCTTTAATCGTGGTCAATAATCACGATAATATCAACGATACACGCAATGCTACAGTATGACCATTATACATTGATACGGGTTGGTCGTCGGAGTGTTGTCGACGTGCGGGCCGCGGGGGACAACTTTTGCGACGCGAAACGCGCCCGTGTGTCTAACGTAGTAACGTCATCTTGTGACGAACGCCCATGCAACACACAACCCAAGCGCACAGAAAAACATAATATAAAAGCTTATACAGTTATACCTATAATATATTAGCTTTTCTTGGCGTATTGTGTTCTGCGTTGGGCGCTTTTCAAAACCGGTAAGTACAATTTTGAAATACATAATAATAATTAATCGTATAACGTTTGTATAGCCCGCGCGTACCTACTGGCTTATTCATGACATTGTACGTATTTCATTCGATGCGTTTCCGTATACGCGATATTGTTTATTACTATATACACGCCATTTCCGCCTTTACGCGTTTCGTATTCGATATTAATACGACATTAGGATTTTCGCTTGCCGTGTTCATAATATCCGGACTTGAACGCCTACGTGCGCAAAAATCTTTAAGCCACGCTTTTTGCAATTACGACTTACGAGACCATATTTATAAATAGTAATATAGTATGTTAATTTTGTTTAGTTCATACTCGAACTCGATACTGTATATGTACACGTAATAATATTTTATACCTACCGTGTAAGAATAATACAATTTACTGCATTTCTAAAAATAAACACACAACACCGGATTATTCACTGATAACATAGGTACTGATAAGACAATTCCATTACACGAACACGGAGTTTTACTTATAATATTATTATTATAATAATATATAAAATGTTTGGCCGTTACCTTTTCAAAATGTTATTCTATATCTTTTTAGGCAAATATAACGATGGTCAAGCATTGTGCGATTTGTGGCAACGTGGATGGCGTCGATGGCGTTTCAGTGCATGGGTAAGTGCATTTACATAATATATACGATTAATTTTGAGATTAAAATACATAATAATTCATAATACAATAATTATTGTATTAGTTTTCCAGCGAATGTCTTTCAGAAGCGTCAGTGGGTGATGTTCGCCGAGAACAATGGTGTCAATCCTCTACGAATATCGAATAACTCCAAGCTTTGTTCGAGGCATTTCGTTCCTGGTCGTGATTACGCAGGCGCGGTATTTCGCCGTCGACTCATTGCTGGAGCAGTGCCATCAGTAGTGAGTAACAACCAAAATACAACATTTGACCGCTGTACTGAACAAATAATGCCGGGCTGCACCTACTGCATACGATTCGCTCACTTGATCATTACATTACTATACGTTATAACTTGACAACTCATAAAGTGTGAATATACCCAGGTGGCAGGTATTTTACAATGGCTACAGTTTGGTACTATACCTACTAGAGTGCAAACCAAATCCAAAAGGTACCTACTTGCATTTAGTTATTGTTGTTGGTTAACATTCTGTATTAAATTATACATTTTTTTGTTATTGCTTTTATTATTTAAAAAATCACAAACAATATTGCTGTTTCATTATTATGGGTATTTACAACCAATAAACAAAATACTTAAACGTTTACTTACACAGTTCTTAATATTACTACTAATACTTTTTTTTTTTTCGTCCAACCGGGTGGGGGACTGCCTATATGCTTTGCTTTCCCGCCGGTCCGCCATCGTTTAATTAAATTACATTTTTTTTCAAAACTTTCGACTCATACCCCCCTCGGGGCCTCAGTCGGCCCCGTTTGGACCTTATTCGCTTTCCTAGGTAAATTTACAGTCGGCGCGCGGCCCTACTTTTTTCCCGGGGGGCCCAACGCGGCCGATATCGCGTGCGATACGAGCGCCGCCGTCGAGAGCGTTTTTTGCCGTTTTTTTCGAAAATTCGAGTCTTAGGCGTTTTAGGGCGTATCGACCGCCCCTTTGGATCTTATTCGCGTTCCCCTCTAAATTTATACCCTACGCGCGGCCCTACTTTTTCATAAACGAGTCCACCGGCGGACGAATCGATCGCCGGGAGCGCCGCGTCGTCGCCGTTTCGACGGTTTTCTCGACTTTTTCGACTAGAGTCGCGTTCGGCGCCTTCACGAGACGTCCGACCTCCCCGTCGGCGACGTATTCGCTTTCCCCGCTAAATTTATATGCGGCGCGAGGTCCTAATTTTTCAAAAACGAGTCTAGGGGAGGTTAAACGTGAGCGGAAACGTGAGTAGGTACCGTGTATGTATCGCTATATACAGGCATAAATACATGCGTCGCGTCGTTTTTTGCGGAGCCGTCGCTGCGTTATCACTCCTCCTTATCACTTTTCACAATTTTTTTTCTAAATTTTCGACTTTTACTCCCCTCGGGGCCTCGGGCAGCGCCATTTGGACCTTATTCGCATTCCTCGCTAAATTTACTATTATAAGTCCGCCGTACTTTTTTCCCTGCGGGCCTTCCGCGGTGGATATCGCGTGCGAACCGAGCGCCGCCATCGCCCGCGTTTTTTGCCGTTTTTTTCGAAAATTCGAGTTTTAGGTGTTTTGGGGCTTATCGACCTCCCCGTTTGGATCTTATTCGCGTTCCCCGCTAAATTTTTAGCCGGCGCGCTGCGATACTTTTTCAAAAACGAGTCCCGGGGAGAACCGGCGTCGCTTTAAAGAGGGTAGGTACCGATTGGGTATCGAGTAGGTACCGCTCTATACAGGCATAAATACGTGCGTCTCGAGGTTCGATTTTTTTCGTGAAGCTCGCGTATTATACTTCCGATGGCGGCGGAGCCGGTCGTCCGCTCGCCGAAGCGGTCGGATCGCCCGCTCAAAAACCCTTTGACGGCCGTCCAAACGGCGTTCGCCTTTCGCGTGCACGGCGACGCGGCTTAAGAGTCATAGATTTGACTCCAGTCTTCATCTCAACAGGTGGCTAGGTGGGTCAGGCGTTAGGTCAGGTGACCCGTGGGTCGTGGGTTCGATCCCGGCCGCCGGGAATTTCGATAATTTGCGGCGGCCGTGAAAAATCAAATTTTTTTTTTCGCGTTTTTTTTTTCGTCACATTTATTATTTTTAACGAAAGCTGTTTTTTATCAAAATTCGCGTTATTATATTTTATGTATCGGTATTTATATATATTATAATTCGCTTAACTATTTTTATTTTGCAAAAAAATATTAATATAATATAATAAATTAATATATTAAATAATAATAATAATTAGCATTTAATTAATACTTGATTTTACCGTGACCAACGCACCTATATGTTTCTTTTATAAATACAATATAATATAACTAACCTATATGACATATATTGTAGTAGGTACCTACTTATTAAGTAGTACGACTATATTATTACTGCTCTTTTTGCCGTTTTTTTCGAAAATTCGAGTTTTAGCCTCTTTCGGTCGTATCACCCTCCCCGTCGACGACCTATTCGCGTTCCCCGGGAAATTTATAACCGGCGCGAGGCCCTACTTTTTCAAAAACGAGTCCCAGGGTGGAGCGGTGTCGCGGAAAAGAGAATAGGTACCGATTACGTATCGCTATATACAGGCATAAATACATGCGTCTCGAGGTTCGATTTTTTTTGCAATTCTCGCGTTTTATACGTCCTAGGACCACGGAGCCGGTAGTCCGCTTCCCGACGCGGTCGGATCGCCCGCTACGACACCCTTTGACTGACGACCAAACGGCGTTCGCCTTTCGCGGGGACGGCAACGCGGTTTAATAGTCATAGATTTGACTCTGATTTACATCTCAGTAGGTGGCTAGGTTGGTTAGGCATTAGGACAGGTGTCCCGAGGGTTGTGGGTTCGATCCCGGGCGTCGGAATATCGATAATTTGCGGCGGCAGTGTTAGATTTTTTCTTTTCGTCGTTTTGCTATCACTTCCGTCTTATCATTTTTAACGTAAATGTTCCGATTTTTTTCAAAATTCGAGTCTTAACGCCTCTACTAACTTCGGACCTCCCCGTTTAAGACTTATTCGCGTTCTCCGTCAAACGATTTAGCAGAGCGGACAGTGTCTTTATTACTATACATGGGCGTGAAAATAATATGCGACAAGGAGTTTGATTTCTCTTTTTTTTTTTTCGTTTTTTTCTAAAATTCGTATCTTGGCCCGTTTTAGTGGTATTACCCTCCCCGTTTGAATCTTATTCGCGTTCCCCCCTAAATTTATAGCCGGCGCGTGGCCCCACATTTTCACAGACGAGTCCCGGGAAAGAGTGGCGTCGCGGAAAAGAGAGTAGGTACCGTGTAAGTATCGCTATATACAGCAATAAATACATGCGTCGCGTCGTTTTTTGCCGTTTTTTTCTAAAATTCGTATCTTGGCCCGTTTTAGTGGTATTACCCTTCCTGTTTGGATTTTATTGGCGTTCCCCGCTAAATTTATAAGCCGCCCGCGTCAGTACTTCGCTCGAATCGAAGGAGGAGGAGATCGGGCAGCGGACAGTGTTGTTATTACTATAAACGGAAATGAAAATATGCGACGAAAAGTTCGATTTTTTGATTCAAGAAACTGCGTTATTATATTATATTTTACTGCTTACATGATCTACCCACAGAATCGGTCTGTAGGTA